ATATGCTAATATACATTTAAAAAATCCAGTTAAAAAGTTTGGGTATTTTTAGATGCGTCATATAGATAAAAAAAAATTGAGAAGTTTCAACTTATTTAATTCTACTCCAAAACATCAAATTTAATATTCATTTTTCCTATTGATTTTCCCGTCGAATAACAATTAAATTAAATTCTCTGCCAACTCATCAGAAAACAAAAACCAATTTATTAACAAATAGCGATATGGAAAATAGTGTGATGAAGATTTTAATTATAATTTTAAATAATAATTCAATCTGACATGTTGAATAAACAAAGCAAAATAGCATTTAAAAACGTATTGAATTTAGCGATAATAGCAGAATAAATCTTTTAGTGATATCTCAATGACGTATAAATGTGTTACCGTTCATGTATACGTAACAATGATTAGAGATTCATTACTCGGATAATGCCATGCACTTGATTGATACCTAAACCATAGTAGGAGCTTGAAATATAGATGAGTGCAGCCGGAAGATCAAAGGCAATTGCCCGGTATGTAAAGTTTCTCAGATAACTCATCGATTGTTTTGGAGCAACCTTTGTGATGTAATAGAATGTAAACCAGCACCCATTGTTTCAATGTTCGTTAAATTATAAAGATTGATTTGTCAGGTAAAGAAAATTATTATTGAATAGTTGGAACAATTATTGCGGTATGAGAGAAATACCAATGAATTGATTAGAAATTAATTTATAAAAGCTACTTGGAAAATTGCACCTTTGATGAGAGAACTGATGGAATGTAGAATAGACATACAGTCTGAATGATATAGGTCAGTTTTAATAAACAAATATGAACTTTATTTGAATACTGAAAAGTTGTACATCATGTTCCAGTATATTTCTCATGTATTTCATCGAGCATATTATTGCCTACATATTACTAGAATAATTAAACCCAACTCATGCTTAAAAGTCTCTTTAAATGCTGAAAACTATACAGACTGAATGTAAAGAGAGTTTTACATTGAGCATGAAATTGGTAACATTCGCAGTATAACAATCTGTGGGGATATAACCAGTTTTATCTGGCATTCCTTTCCTGTTTATACGAGAATTTGAATTATTTAGATGATGGGAAAAATTTCATTGCCATGTTTAAGAGAATTTTTTTCTTTACTTTATTCCTTAAGATCAAAATATTATATGAAGTATATGAATTTTGGCCTTTTATATATTGGGTCAAGGAGAGAAGGTCATCTAATCGCGTAAGTCACAACCACGATGACACAGAGAAGCTGGAATGGTCGTAGGATCCACGTCACTGTCACATGAGGTTACACGTTGTGATTCAAGGGATGGGGAAAAGACCCTTCTGGATTTCCTGTGGCGTAGAAATCCGTCACTTCTGGTGAAACCCATTCCCACTCTGGATAACGTAAACTAATTTCGAGAACAGACTTGATCGGTGGACTCAGTGTCTCCATCATGAATTTATTTAATTCAACATTCTCTTCTCTAATCTCATAATTTAACCTCCTGTAACTTGGTTTCTATATCAACATTGGTATATGGCTATCTATATTTCAATCCATTTAGAATAATAGAGAAATGGAAGAATTGCACACAGCATTTTATGACCAGAATTTCCTATGAAATAAAATTATAGCATTAACATTTTTATTACTGAGAGCGTAAGATGTTAACATAAGAAGCTCAAACAACAAAAATTAACAGACAACTTTTCAAACTCTTATAAACCATTGGCTTCGTTATGAACTCAAACTCTATGGTAGATTAAAAAAGTAAAAAATTAAATTTATCAAGAAAATTTTTTCATTAAATTTAATTCAATTAAAACTCTACATCAAAGTAAAATACACTACTTAAAGTCTAACCTCTTCGTTTCTTCCTTTTCTATACACAACTAGCAAACTCAGCTGCTATAAACGGCCAACACTACTTTATATTGAAACTGTAGATGCAAAGTTAGGAGATAGTACAAGAAATGGACAGTAGTAACCTCGAATTTGAAGAAACTTTTCTGATATCTTAACAATTTAAATAGAATACATAACTTTGATAAGTGTATTAACATAAAAAAAAATAAATAAACTCAGTTACTTGGTTAAATCAACTCAATTATTTATTTAACTCTATTTATCAAATTTGTAAAACACAGTTTGAATCTTAAGAGAACATTAATCAAAATTTACGACTTCTCATTGTTGAAATATTTTTCCATAGTGTACAATACATCAGAAATGCAAATACAGAGAAAATTAAAATTTTTATCACAACATTTAAATGATATTTTTATTTCAAAGAAACACTTTCATTTAACAATTAAAAAAACAATTTATTAATAGCTAATTATACAATTTTTTTTTTCCATCATCTGCAAAAGATTTATATAGATTGCAGTGCCTAGAATTAAAACTGACATTAGCTTTCATAATAATATTTTTGAATTATAAATACCAACCAAATAATAAAAATAAAAATTATTATTACACCGTTAATAAATACTCCACTATGTAATTACTAACAACGTGAACTTTTTTATAATACATTTCAGCACGAAAAAAATAATAATAACTAATATTTCAAAGTAAAAACTAATAATTATAATAAATTTTCAATAAAACTTGAGAAATATATTAAAGGTGCTTAGCAATATTTTACATCTCCAAGATAATGATTCTTAGAATTATAAAGATGATAAGAAATCATGTGAATGTAATAACATTGTTTTTTAAAAAAATGTAAGAACCTAAATGACTGATATTAATTGCAATATCCAACGTAATATAATAATACTTGCGTAGGCCAATGCTATTAATGTTATGTCCTGTTCGTGACTAAAAATCGTGAACAAAGTTTCCAAAGCATTATTAACCATGAAAAAAATCTAGCTATTACAGTATTCCAATGAAGGTAATTAAAAGTTAATCATTGACCTTATTTTATAACGATAGTTTCAGTAATGGAACTTTAATTCAACCACTGGTGTGTACTTAAGGTTTAGTACTTTAAGATCATAACTACAATAAAGTAGCTGAGAAACTTTCAATGATTCGAATAGTGATGATGCTTAAAGTAGCTGAATGACAGATTTTCGTTGAGAGCTTTTTCATCACAAAGCCAGCTAAAAAACTATTATCCCACATCAAGGAAGGATAGTAGGACACATCAGAATTATAGCAAGTACGTGCGTGCCGGGCAAGCGAAGTTGTGTGATTACGAGTATGGACAAACGACTGAGGATTGCCAAGAGTATGAAAGTCAGCAAAAAAGATCAGAGATGACTTTGTATTTTGAAATATGATCTTCAATAACTTGATTTTTCCCTCAACTATGATATCGGAAAAACATTTGATATTCAGTTCAAAGAGTTTTGAACCAATTTTGTAAGTCTATAATGAATAAAACTAAGCTTTGAAAATAAATCTGATGCTTATAGATAATATTAAAAATCAGCCTTTATTAAAAATGTATTTTATCATTTCCTTGCTAATAACTACATGTTAATGAAATATTCATGAAAGGCCGATCGATAACGCACTTCACTGAAATTTAATAAGATAATTAGAATTGAATCAATGAATTAACACAAAGATCATTTAGAGTGTTAATGTATGGTCCACATTAGATGAAAATTTTTTTACAAAATTGCTTAAATAATCCTACTATTTATGCCTTCTATTTTGTAAATCTGATGTGAGAGATACCTGAAGTATTCCTGTTAAGACAAATTCCACTATAAAAAGAAATAAGATTGTAATATATTCTCACGGTCTTACTTAAACAAATTGTACAGCTAAACTTTAAATCTCAAGGACGATAGAACGAGGTCATCCAACCTTCTGATACCAAGGACAGTTTGATTTTCCGGTTCAGCTAATTTTCCACTGACAACATGGTTATTTCTAGAAAAGTATTTGATTGTATAGCCTTCGTGGAAATTAATATTCATACAACCATGTTTTATTCGTGGTAAAGCATGAAAGATTTGAATGAGAAGTGTGCCTGTGACGACGTCGTAAGTAATCAAAATGCATGCGATGAAGTGATCTGTGTTATTAACATAGACCTTGCCCCATGATCGGGCGTGTTATTCCACCCCGATTGTAGGGGATCCCTCTCCGACTCATTATAAGCTGCCTGAAGCCTGAAATTGTTCGTGATCACGCTAACTTGCTCCGAGTATTCAAGTGTAACGTCATTGTTTTATTTCCCATACGCATTTATAATTTTTTACTTTTTAACTATTCTTGCTCCAGTACATTCAATAAAAAAAAACAGCGTTGGTAACATATCTATTACAACTTTGTTATCTGCGTGATGATTTTTCAATTAACTTGAATAATAGAAAAGCCTCGAGTATTGTGTTCTATAGTCAAGTATTTCATATATATGGATGTAAATTTGATTCACAGAAAAAACGATAAACTGTGCTTAGAGCGTTTACTTTTAATTGCAAAAAATTTTTAAAAAATATTATATATTTTAAAGAACGATTGGAAAACAATAGATTAAATATCCATCGATAGGTTGATATATAAAAAGCAATGAAATTTTTTGAAAACAATTTTCATGTTTGTCTATACAATCAAATTTTTTTTCTATTTGTCACATTTTTTATTGAGTTAATATGTGACAATCTTGTTTACCTTTTTTAAATTTATTTTTAAAAAAAATGATAAATGGGATTATTTTATAACTTTTCTTCGTCTTTCATACACAAATGGCTTTAATAATTGTAAATGAAAATTTTTGAAAAGATAGACATAAAAAATATGTCCATATCAATTTATACACAACGAATATGAAATATTGAGACAAACGTAAAAATTGAATTAAAAAGAAAGTTGTGTGTTTCAATTGAAACCATTTTTTATATGACTCTAAATAAATAAAGTTGTCCATTGAATTTATTACACAAGAATGGTTTAAATCCTTCTTTTTCATTGAATTTTTGCATCAATAAAAAAAGATTAACCCATAAAAAATATGTAACAAGAATAAACTCACCAGGACGTAAACAGCGAAGGGCATAACAAGGACAGCAACGAGTAAATCTGCAATAGCTAAACTAACGATGAAGTAATTCGTAACTGTCTGAAGTGCTCTTTCTCTTACAACAGCAAGTATGACGAGAACATTGCCAAAAAGTGTCAGGCATGGTACGATGACAAGTATAAGAGCCCACCAACTGTTCACATTAGATTTTTCTTCCGTTGAACCACACTCGCCGACAGTCACGTTGCCAGTTTGATTGATAGATACGCAGCTGGCGTTGACCGAGGTCAGGTTTAAACCCACGCCGTTGTCGTAGTAGGTCGTCAAGTTTGCAAATGCGCTGTAATTGAGCCTGTTGATGTAGTCGTTGAAATCGTCGAATACAAAGAGATCAGATATCGACGTGTAGTTATCGGTTATTGAACTACTGATATTAATAGTAGGCGAGACGAGTGTTGGAATTGATGATGACGAAGAAGACGTGAACGTGACATTCGTCAATGAATCATTGCCCCAACCGAATTCGATATCCACATCGCTATCATTGATTTCATTGGCGTGGAAGTACGTAGAGTTCATTAAGATTCTTGTGCCTGCACTCGTATAACTTCCGGACAAATTTTCCGGATATAAGAGCTCTTGAGTTTTCGTAACATTTTGTCCCTCAACCACAGAAAAACTATTCACTGATCTCGGTTCCATAACTCCAAACATTTTCCCACCACACAAGTACTTTTTCTCTTCCTTTTCCCTTCAACTCCAACGTCTTTTGATTTTTGCTCCTTCTTCAATAAATCACGAAATTTTAGACCGTTTCGCCCATAGAAGCTTCTTGTTTTTGCTCTTCATTTTTTTCAATCAACTCTAATCACTTTTAAGTGGTATTTATTTGATGTCAAAAGGTGTGAATCCAAAAGATCGGATAAATTATTGTCGAATCAAGTACATCAATCTCTGAAACAAGAAAGAACAATAGTCAATCATTTAATTTTGATTAATGATGAAAAAGTTTTCTTCTATATAAACTAGTCATTATATTAATAAATCTTTTTCTAATTTGAATGATTGGCAGTAATTTATTTAATATAATAGGTAAAATTTTTAGTAAAAATATGTAATTATTCAAACTAATCTTCGTTATTTTAATTAGTCTTCTTATAAGTGCATTAGGTAAAAGTTTTTGAAAATTAAAAGTTACTTTTTTATTTCAAGGTTTGAAAAACTGTTATTATTTCAATATCTAACGATAAAAAATACAACTCAGACGCTGTTAAAACTTTGAAACCGTAGCAATGATCTTTAGTGAGAAACTTGTTCACTTCAATAAAACAAAGAGAATCGAAAGAATTGACAAATAGATAAAATACGATAATGTTTTTACTGTGTCCTTCCCCATAGTAACCTTAAGGCTTTCGAAGTATTCTCTATAGAGAGCGAATATTATTTCTTTCGTTTTATCCACTTATAACAGAATTGCCGACATGCTTTTTCAACTTTGGCATTTGCAAACATCTCAATATAAACATTCAGAATATTATTTTTCATAAATCAATAGAGAAACTCTATTTTCTTTATTAATCATATTTAATAAAGCTTTGATCATTCGAAAATTGCCTTTAAACTTCACTTGACCTTTCTTTTCCGCTTGAATGATTTGAAACTTTTTCATCCATCCTTCATATCAACGTTGATATTCTCAACGTAACGATAACATTTTAAAACCCAACCAACCTTTTTCAACGGTCAGAATACAAGTCAAAGGTATATTCCATATTAAAGTACGTTGACAGAATTTTAATAACGCAATAACATCTGCTTACGTTTATGTAAACGTGACGGGCAATAGGATCTTTGGATATCAAGTAAAAGAGAAAAATGATACAAAGATTAAATAAAGTTAAAAAAATGTAAGTGTTGTGCATGATAATTTTCCAAATCATTTATTTCAATGAAAATAGAGAAATACTGTACGATTCATTACATAAAGTATAGGATTAATTTTTCCTTTACGTTTTCATTCTTTGAAAAGTAAATAAAAAAATTTTATTCGTACACATGCTCTTATTCACAGTAGCTTTGATGTACTTTTAACTCACGCTACGGTCCATGTAATATTACTCTCCTTTGATAACAGACCCAACAAGTATTCCAATGACATTCTTTCCTTCAGAAAATTCCAACCACTTCCATCAACAGAATTTGCTTAGAGAATCTAACTATGTTATAAAATTATAAGATAGAATTTCTTAATTTCTTTGATTTTATAACATTTTGATTAATCTTTGCTACTTTATTTTCTAAAAGCTTATTAACTTTATGCAACAATTCCCAAACTTTTTTTGCAACATTAAATCCTTCTTCAAAATAACTTGATAGATTTATTTAAAGAAAAGACTCTAAATAAAATAACAACAGATTTATTCCAAGGTATAACTCAAAACGTATTATGTTTAAAGTATTGTATGTCAAAGAAAAAAGAATATTTTGAATTTTTAATAGCATAAATAAATATAAATACTTATATTTTACAATTTGAAAATGGAAATTCAATTATTAGAATTTATGTGAACATTAATTAATAATGACTACAAACGATTGGTAAAACAGCAGAAATTAAAAATTTTTCCCGCAAATAGTAGTTCTATTACGTTAACAGGATCGGGTAATGAGCATTCCAGTATATTTAATTTACCATAGATGAAATCCAACATAAAACGTTTATTGCCTCAATTCGCTACAGACATCTTTTAGATAGGTGCTGTGCATAGTCACTTATATTACTTTTTTTTATAGCAGAATGGAATTTTCTCAGGTACTCAACATGTCTCTAGTAGCATAAGTTATGTCCATGTTACTCTGTGAAAAAGCTCTTCATTGTAACTCGATATTATTTTCAAACCATAACCATTTATAGAAGCCAGCCAATGAGGAATAAAGGTTTTGTCATAAATACTTGTTAAATTCTTGACAAATTTATTTACAGTTTGAATGTTTCGAAGGTAGTAACTATTTATAGATTCGTTCAAATAATTTTCATCATCTTTTTTCATTAAAAGCAAATGAGAAATAGAGAGAAAAATGCTTTCTATTTTAATCTTATTTTTTTGTTTCACAATAAATTCATTTATTTTTGTCACTAACATTTTTCAAAGAGCTCAATGGAGCAACGTGTGTTATTGATTGGTTTTAAAATTTAATTGACAGAAATCAAGCTAAAATTTTTTGTTGAAATTTAAACAATAAATAAAAATTAAAAAAAATTAAAAAACTCAGTTTTTTTTTGTCCAATATGAATTGCACAGAATATATTCTATTTCTATAATATATAATAACAGTGGTTAACAATAATTGGACTTAATTAAATTCAATCGCTAATTCCGACTAAAATTGTAGACATGAATTACTGGATTATTACAATTATGAAATTAATTAGTTTAGAGATGAGGTATTATATTATAAAATATTTAAACTATTCCAAATAAATTGTAAGATGTACGGGAAATAGAAACGATCTTATTTCTGCCAGAGATCTTAAAAATATAGAAGCAAGCTCACAAATTTCCTAAAAAGATCCCATGTCAGTTGTGTTTGTCCATTCAAGCATACTTTACCCGGACTTTAGGAGTAAAGTAAATTTACCCAAGAAGTGTATCTATCATCAAGATTTTTTTTCATGCATTCAAGCACTCTCAGGCAATTCCAATAAAAACTAGATATGACAGATAACGTATTTCAGTGTGTTATTAACAAAATCTTCTTAACTAATGTTAATTGTTTTTTTATTGTCACATTGATGGTATAAAAATTTGAAAAATAAGCATCAAATTTCCATCAATATTTTTCTCAAAATAAAAAACATTGGCTATTTCTTTCACTGACAATCATTATCACTTTCCATTTATTTACAAGATAAATAAATCGACAAATTTCATTTTACTATTTTCTAGAGATTTTCAACGAAAATTTCTGAAAATTTGTTGTTTTTCAAACATTTTGATAGGATTCTACACTTCAACAAAGCATAAACAAATAGACCAGGCCAATCAGAAATTGATTTACAGAATAAAATAGATGTTACTCGACTGGCTATCACCTGACTATTTGAATTATTCATGACTTGTTAACCAGATGTTGATTAAATGTCTTTAAGCATTTACAATTAAGCCCAGAAACTGTGGAGCTCCTAACAATACACATCGTGTCGTCAAGCTCGCGTGATTTCACATGAATTCCTTGGCTATCAATTTAGCCTGTTGGCAGTAATTTCCTCTATCAAGTTGCAGGAGTAGCATTAGAGAATTTGGGAATTCGTGGCGTTGGCCGTTTCATCCAGATTTATGCGAATCACGTTGACCGAAGCCCGATTGATCGATGGTCATCACCGAATTTAATTTATTTCACACAATTCACTCAATGCAGAATTGAAATGAGAATCTAGTGGATCTAACGTATTTATTCTCATCGATCAATATCCTATATATCCCTGGTGTTATAGAAATTAATCACGAGTATAGATTATCCATAAAAGCTCTTATCTTTCAATATGCACATTATTATCATTTGCCACTATAATTTTTTCAATTAGTACTTATTTTCTATAATTTCTGAAGTCCATTGGTTACAGAAACTGAAATTTTAAAATTGTACATTAGGTTAATAATGCCATAAATCTACTAAATTTATATTATAATGTTGATTAAAGTACATCAAACCCATCTGGCTTATAAATGATGATAGCTATTAATTTAGAAAATGAAACTATACATTTTATATTTTAGAAAGAATTAATAATTTAGTTAAATCAAAGAGAAACATTTTTTTTACTAAGTGAAAAAATGGTTTCAAAATTAACCTATTTATGAGTACTGGTATGAGAATTTTTTTTATAAGCTATATATGTATCGGAAATGTAATAATTATGTAGGTTATTACCTAATAGAAGATTTTTCTGATGCCATAAGAACAATAAACTGACAGTAGGAAATCTCTCGAAAATAATACTATACTGAAAGACATAAAAATGCATTCACATTATGTATAATAAATGTGATTTTTTAGGAGTTCATGATTTATTCATATTTTTATTATTATTATCTATCAATTTAGCATTTTTTCAATTGTCATTGATTCAATTAATAAAAAAAATAGCTAGTCAGACTTTTCAAATACTATATTTATATCTACTTTTAAATTTTTCAAATAACAAAATGTATTGTCAAAATTAGTAAATATTGTAGCAATTCAGTGCAAGATCAATTGCAAGTAAATGATATCATCGTTGTCTATCGATTCGTTGAATCTCTCAATTATATCCTGAAACAAAAGCTTTCTTTTCTCTTGACAGTAAATCAGTATTCAATTGTATTATTTTCTCTATATATGTATATCTCTTTTTTCTATAGATAAAAAAAAGGATTTCTCATTGCAAAAAAATTAAAGTTTTATTAAAACAAAACATTCATAATATCCGATGTATGAAATTCTTTTGAACAGATTCAACCACAAAGGTGAATTTATTAGTTGAATATAAATGATTTTTTTTATTGATAAAAAATAGATATTTGCTGTTGTCAATGAAATATTGTTTAATATTTACAATAAAAAAAATTGCACATCCAAAAAAATATTTCTGTGTAAATAAAAAACAAATTTCCGCTCTGCGTACAAACAAATAAATAATAAAAGCTCTGCAATTCCATTCGATATTAAAGAACCGATAATTATTCAAGTTTCCACAATTGTATATTTTATTAAATGACAATTTATTCAGCTGGGAAGCAAGGGTTTTACGAGCATTGCAAAAAAATTAACGCATTTCATGGTCTAATAATTTTCTGAGTTTGGAGAAGAATGAAAAAATATGAGAAGTACATGAAAATTAGAAATACATATCCGTAAACATACAACACATACATGAAGATAAAAATTTAAATTAAAACTGGAAAAATGTCGGATACAACAAAGCTTTTACGGTCACTTTTCACATGATATTCAGCATTATAACATTTAAAAAGTTACATTAGCGATTCTATAAAATGTGTTCAACATTGCGAGTAAACACAGATAGTAAAGCATCGTTTAACGGACGAGATAGAAATTTATACAGAATTTTAAACGTCACTACTTATTTCTTCTTAAGGAAGAAAAGGCGATTTCATATTATTAAAAAATTTATGATTTTCTGAGGTTCGTTCGTTCTTACAGAATTCAAAACCTTCTACATCACTATTTTTTATAGTCAGTATACAAGAGAGATGTTATATTTGGTCCATGTTTCTTGAAAGTATATATACGTTAGCTGCTATTGTATACAAAGAATTGGATATTTTTAATGAATTCGTCGGAGAAGATTTTATTTAACAGTCGACTCGACAGCGAAAATTAAGATTTCTTATTCTTAAGATTTTTAATATCTCTTTTTCTCTCTCTTTTTTAATTGTCGCCTTCATACTGAAGCAGAATTCTCGTTTAGAATTATAAAAAGCACATAACGAAGAGTTTTATCTAAATTTTTTAAGCACGAATCTGATTTCCGTATATAACAGAAGAAAAGAATAAGAAATGGAAAATTTTGATTAACAACGATTATAAAATGGTTTTATTATTCACCCAATTTTAAGGATTCTTCCTAATGACTTTTACACTAATATAAAGAACTTTATTTCAACACTAAAATATTCATTCATTGAAATTAATTTTTTTTCTTGCTTTCAAGTCAATTGAAAAAAATTGAAAACTAACTTTGAATAAAAAGCGAGTTCCACATCTTTTAAAATCACCGAAAATAATTTACATTTTGTACGTATATTTATAACGTAGCTGTTATTGCATATTTCAACAAGAAGATAGAAGACGCCTTTATAATGAAAAATTTCTTCAAATAAGAATTGTAATTATCAAAAAGTAAACATAATTATTTAATTGAAATCTATAGGTATTGGAATAAACTTTTTTATCATTTGGTACTTCAATATCCTTCAATCCATTTGGTCTCGATACTCTAATAGTTATAGCTTTAACCTTATCTGTTCAATCTTCGACGTTTAACCGTGCGACACGCTATCCTCTAGAGCTTGAGAATTTGAATCAATAAATTCGCTCGAGCAGGGATAATGAACGTTTAAGTGACTCGATTCTGTCATCTTGTTCATCGGATCATTTTTTTTTGTATAATAGATCATTTAGGAGACGGTACTTTAACTATATGTGCATAATATCCTCTTTCTTCAACCTTATACTCGACCAATTCAACAATAATTTAGCTCTCTAGTCATTATTGACTCAAAAGTTAAATCCTCAATCGTTATTGCAAGTTGATTTTAAACCACTTTCTATATATTTTTTTCGATAAAAAAAACCTCAATCACTTATTGAAAGACATGATGGACAAGAAATGCCTAATTGAACTGTAAAAGTTAATTAGTTTGTAATTATAAAAAAAATCGTTTGAATTTTATAACTAAATCTCTGTTTATAATGATTCAAATAATCAAGTGATTAATTTATTTCATAAAAAATATTTTTATGTTTTGTTATTTTTGTGTTCGTTAATGGTAAAAAAAAAATTTAATAATGCCAATTTACTTTTGTAATATACTACAAAGTGTGAAAAACTTATACGAGAAAATAAAAGAAATGAGACAAAGAAAAAAATATTTCTCTCTAAATTTGATACACAAAAAATATGATATTCAATGTTAATTTTTAATCATCTCTATAATCAAGTACCTAACTTAACTCTCAATTTATAAATGGTAATTAACCCGTAAATTATCCAAACAATGAATAACTAACCGATTAACATACTTCCCCAAGTAGTTCAGTACATTATCTATCTCATGAAAAATAATTATTATTAAAAAATGTTAATGATACACGATGTCTTTAAGATAATGATGATTACATGTAATGGTAAAAAATTTATGGCATTAAAGAACTTATTGAGCTCGAGAAATAAGATAAGAAGTCAGAGGAAAATTATGTAAAAAATGGAGAAATTCTTACCATCAAAGATAAATCCTTCTGATCTCTTCTTGTGGCTGGTGAGGTCCCTTTGAGTCCTTTTGCTTGATCCTTAAAGTGATCAATATTGCATGAGTTGCATTCAAGCCATTGTCGCATAGATTCATCTCAAACGATGCTGAAAATGCAATATTTTGGCATTCAATGTCCCAGGTCGATGATTCGTCATAGGTAAAGATGACATTTTCGACGTCATTGTTCCTTAAATCTTTTCCTTTCTCGCTTTCATACATTTCAATATTGCTTGAAGCATTACTCATATTGTGAATTCATACTTTTCCTTGAATATCAACAGATCGATAATGGATTTTCGAGATTGATTTATTCAGTTTTCTTTAAGATTTTTTTCACCACCTTTATCAAATTTCTCAATTTTATAATTGCTTAAATATTGTAAAAAATCAGTAACCACTTGTAATAATCTTTCGTGATATATTGCTTTTGTGAGGAAGATTAATAAGTTGATAATAGAATTTAAAAAAACTTAACATTGTCTGTAAATGGGCTTCCGTTACCACTACATCAACTTTTTATTTTTCTTTTTGTTTCCACCTGTAAAGTATCTCCACCCTTTTTGGAGAAAATCAAGATATTCTCACTAAAAAACTTTTCACGCTTTGCGATCTTACTTTTCCCTCCTTTTTCTTTGAGTTTTTCAAATGAGATCGCCGTTTTCACAAGTGAACAAATCCATACTGAATCAGATTTCACATTTCAAATGTTTCTTACAGAAGCCTGAAGCTGCTATCAACTCAAATTGAGCTTAATCGACAAATCTCTGCACTTCTTTATACTCTGGCACATCAATTCGCGCAAGAAAAAGTTTTATCGTCGGTCGTTTTAAACCCGCATATAACTTTCCAACTTTTTCATATAATCTTGATGATTTATAAAAATAAATCGATTTTTTGTGTGATAAAAAATCTAACTTTCTGCACCAATAAGTTTCACTTAATTAAAAACATTATCATGGAGTATTGGTTCAATTTAGTTTGGTTCATCAGTTAAAAATATAATCTTGTGGCTGTTTCACTGTGGCCCACGTCCTCATACTTCAATCGGCATCTGTAGAACGCTACCGGCGTTCAACTATGAACGAACGGCGAGCGACTGGTTGTCTGGTTGCGTCTCCACGGAGGATCCCGAGGTGGCTAGAGCGTCGACAGAGGGGAGAAAGTGCGGCGCCGTTTCAACCCCTCGTAACCAACCCTCAATTCCCCACCATTGCCATCAACCATTTCGCTCCTGTGATCCTTTCTATAAGCTTCGCGCAGGTTCCACCGTGGTGTCAAATCAGTTTTCGTATCCTTGACTTATGGAATAACTTTTATAGATTCCTGTACAATGTGTTCAATTTATTTGATCGCTTGTCACTCCTCCAATAAATTATTAGTGTACTTTAGGTCTTAATTTTATCCACAATACTTCTTTTAGCTGAGAAAAAAAAATGAAATTGTATCAAAAAATGCCGCAGGATAGAAGGGAGGACCTGAAGTACCTTGTAACTCTTCATTTATGATCATGCAGCTTTTGAAGTTCTCTAACTTGAGTTCTGTTTATTCAGCGCCCCTCTATCATTCCATATTCCCTTGAGATATTTGGGAGTAGATGGTTACCATATCAGAATGTGAATGTTCGGAAAATATTATTTCTGATCATCGAACAAGTTCAAGTAAAATATCCATTTTAGGACAACGACATTGAATCTAAACCTTTGGCTTTATTCCAGTTTACATAAAACTGGATAACGAATTGATTTATTGCCGGCATGATATGTGGATATGTGAATATAGTATCAACATACTCGAGATTATCTGCAATGTAATCGATAGAACACTTTTATGAGTTGTAATTAATAGCTCGTTTAATCTACACTTTACGGAAATTAAATTAAGTTTAATATATACTCAGAAATTTCTCCAACCGTGACGAATTTTGGAAAAGCTCATATCGTTAACGTACTTTAAGTTGTAATATCTTCAATCATAGCTCAATAATTAGAGTAATGATTCAATTATTTATAAAAAGTATGGTCTCTTAATATTATTATTATTAATAATATTTAATGTAAAATCTGAGAATTAAAAAAAATTTATTATATTGATTTTCATAAATAGTATTGAATGTAATAAAACTATTTAAATATGAGCAATAGAAAATTTCATAGGATTTGCATATTACTTGAACTTCTTAAAAGTTATTATCGAGATAAATTTTTTAATGACACTCTTAGTAATTGCATGATGTAAATAAATTCCAATAATGAGCCTAATAAAATTTTTAAAACGATTTAACGTTTTTTAAACTCTACAATTATATCTGCAATGGAATCGATAAAATAATTATTATAATTAATGTTTTGTTTATCCAAGTACTCATAAAAAACATATTGCATGATTCCACTTAAATACCAAGGTCTACTAATTATCATTAATGGAAAAGTTTTTCTGTAAATTCAAACATAAAACTATAAAAAATGAAAAGTATCAAGCTACAAAGATTTCATTTAAGATTTGCACGAAACATATTCTTTTTCTTCGAGATAATTTATAATCTTCAATAGCGAATCATAAAAAACAATGTGTGCAAAGAGAACTTATTTGCTCCAATTTATTCAGTTTTTTATTCGATGCAGATAATAGTTACCGCAACTTAATTTATAACATCACGAGGTAAACTATGACCGGAAACATGATACACATTAGTCATAGGTACTTATACATCTAAAGAAAGTTTATTGAAGTTACTAAATGACAATGAATGAATGTGTTGTATTATTTCGGATTATAATTATCTATACCTACCGGGACAATAACCTCAGTATTGTGATTATATCCATATATCAGCAAACTACAAACTATATCTATTATCAAGTTTACATTGGTCGCAAAAAATTTTAATGTAATAGTATCGTTCATTATAGTATACAATTACATTGATTTTTAATCGATTTGAAATTAAAAGAAAATATTATGAAAATCTTTCAACTATCAATTATAATTTAAAATTATTAAATTTTTTTTAAAATAACTTTGTGATAAAAATGATGAAAAAGACATTGTTTGTCAATTAAAATAGAAAAAATGACTTAAAAGTTTTTTCTACAACAATAAATATGTTTATATTTATTAAGATCGTATTTCTTGTTCAAATTGTTGTTTTCATATTTATATTGTGAAAAAAATACGGAAAAAACGGCATTCACTCTATAGCATAACTATATTTTCGTGATAGTTGATTTTGCATTTTATTCTAAGCATCATGGAAATGTTACTTTTTATTCTTAACTACGAATTGGATGATACGACAGTTCTATTTTCTCATGACTGTACAGGCACGTTCACTTAAATATATCAAGTTTAAAAAGAGACTCGTATCGATACATTCTAAACAGAGTTGCTTGCGAGAATTTACAACTATGTCCGAAATAGTGATCGATAGAGTGCAATATAGATGTACTTATTTTTTCCTTTTAGAATGATGTGTTATAAAGAATGATTTAGCCCTAGAATTATCAGTAATAACTTTTCAACAATTAACACAAATTATGTCAACCTGACTTGTACCAATTATTTTAATTATTCACAGTTGATGGTAAAAATTATATGTCGATAAATATGTAGTGAAACATTTTCACATTCTATACTATGATATTTAACGGAATATGACATTCATTTATTAAAATTCACCATTCTACCAAAACAAATAATTTCCGACATTTTGTTGGAATTGAAAACGAAAGAAAAATGTATTTTGATAAATTCGATATTCATAGTACAATTACAGTAACCAGATAATAAATCGAAAATGTAGAAAAAAATATTCTAGAGTGCTACAAATTTAAAAAAAATTTGGTAATTATTTAGTTTAGGTTGCATACACTCGATTTCCTTGAAATTTTCGTATATTGTAGAGAAATTATCCTCATTAATTTAATATATATGTATATAAATGGAGCGAGAAAAATTTAGATATTAACATGCATCAGATTTTGTTACGGTAGCACTTTGTCTGACAATAATGACATCATTGCATAAGAATTGGCACAACATATCGATTTCTTTGTTAAAATTTTTTTGCTATTATGTGTTTCTATGATTTGCTTTATAAAAAATGTCAAAAAGACATTATTGATATTCACATAGAATTGAAGCATTCATAAAAGAAATATCTCGAATGTATCCGGTAGACATTAATAACTGTTTTCCCCAGTGAATGAATGATTATTTTTAGAAATTAATTTATGTCATTGTGTAAGTCGTAACTAATTATATCTGATGTTAGAAAAAATTGAGAGGGGGGGGGGTCAAAAATTTTAACTAGATTATTAACAACTTTCCTCCCTGCCCAACTTTCAATCCTCTCCAATATCAAATATTTGCAAAATACCAACTATTCAAGATAGCATACATTTTTTAATTTTAAAACTTGAAAAATCATACAAAGGACTGTTTTCCGCGTCCAACATATGTATGTATATATTCTTGTTCAGTATAAAAAACTATATAACATACTAAAATTTCAAGGAAATTGAGTATATGCAACCTACACTAAATAATTACCAAAATTTTAATATCGCACTATGATTTTACTTCTTTTTTTAAAAACAAATTTTAGATAATGTTCAAGTCTGTATATGACATGTTTATCATGAAAAAGAGATTAAAAGCTCACAAATTTGTTATTCTTTTATTTAAAAGATAATTGAATTTATTATTGTTGATAATTAAAATTCATTTTTCCAAACTGCAAACTTTCAATTTTTCATCGATTTTTATAATTAAAAAAAAACTCATCAAAAGTTCACACATCGTCAAATTCGATATTTGGATGCTTGTTTGAGCTTTCTGAAGTTGTAGAAAGTATAGCTACGACTCCAACACTTCAGACACAAGAGCATTACTCTTCGACTAGTCTACTAATTCAGGATGAGAAGTTTCAAAGACCCGTGTCACTGAGTTTCTAGACTAAAATTCATTGAAACTTTCAACGGTTAATTTTGGTGTCATTTCGACACATTCAATGTTGCTCTTTTGTCAACGTTACATCTGCAATCTTAGTTATCAACGTCATCAAATCTTAGTTATACTGATGGAGAAGTGAATTTCCAAGCTTCTCAATTATTTGGTAAAAAAAACTACTCCCAAATAATCATTAGTACTGGATTTGATTGAAAAATTAAAAGGCTAAAATTTTTTATCAATAAATTATCTCGTACGTGAATAGATGCATTTAATTAGGTTAATTCCTATAAAAAGTTCAATTTGAATTAAAAGATAATTCGTAATCGTATGTAACATTTTTCCTTTGATTCAATTTATCTCTGAATAAAAGGATTTTATTCTGCAAATTCTTTAAGTTTTTGCATTTATTTTAGATACTTCTGATCAGATGTTCTTTGTTGTTCTTAACTACGTTACTTTTAATGATTGAAATAAAGTTTTCTAGTAGTAATAGTGAATCAAAAACTCGAAAAATTTTTTCGATAAACTATATATCATTGAAAATTTTTATTTTTATAAAAGTAAATAAAAAATGTTCACTATATTTGTGCTAAATAAAATCCTAATACTCATCACAAAGCTGCAGCGATCATAAATCTATTCTTTGCAACAGTTTATTGCTAACTGTACAATAAAATTTGTAAAAGATACGTATTTGATAATAGCCAGTATGTTCGATTTTCTACTACCATACGACAAAAACAGGCTAAACCCCGCGATCGGTCGATCAATGTAAAAGTTTGCATCATCCGCAATTCCAATACGTTTTTATTATTCAACCTAATATTATTTGACAGCAAATGCATTTTTATAGGACAATTGAGTGACCTAAACTTTTTTATCCATCGCTTAATCTGATATTTATTATCGTAAAATCATTCGTGTTGGGTAACAATTTATCTGACAGTATGAATTAGTTTCTATAACATACCAATGTCACACCCACGTTTGCTAAATGTCACAAAAATATTAAAAAAGAACATCATACATATTTGTCGGTGAAAAATTTCAAATCTTCGTGTCTCTCTAACATTAAGCCCGAGCTAATGATAATTTCAATATAATAAGCATGTGCGTTGAT